CTGGAAATTTGATTTATTGGCTTGAATAAAGACTTTGATTCCCCATTGTGTATTTGATAAAAGTCTGAATAAATCTGTATTTTCACACATCTGAGTGAACGTGAAATGGCTGCTAGTTAATTTCTAAGGCAGTTAGTTGAAGTCCTCTAAAATAGGACAATTTCTCCAGTGAAATGGTGTTCTGTGACCAGTCTGTAGAATCTGCTAAATGATTTGTCTTCATGTGGCTTTATAGTGTCTTGGCAAGCAAGAAGACTTGCCAAGTGTTTACTGTATATCTAGAACCAGGAAGATAAATTGTTTTTTATTACTAGAGTGTCTGAATAAATGCTTTGAGTGCACAACTGACTGCAGGCTATTGAAGGAAAACTGTGCTGCTTCACCCTCCAGCAAGGCAGCACTTTAAGTATCAGCATGCACAGATTTTTCTTTCTCATCTTGCATTTTCAGGGAGCCTGAAAATTCTGGTGCCCCAGCTGATAGATATCCTTGACTCTGAACAGAGCACGTAGCTCATTTCTGTAGCGTCTTCTCCTTACTCCACAGCTTCACCAGATGTAGTCATGTCAAAACCAAGTTGAGTCTCATTCCTTTAAAAAGAATCCCTGGAGTATAGCTGGAGAGAAATGGTCACCATTTGAATTTTCAGAGCAGTTCCTTGAGCAACAAATGTGCCAGAGTTCTTTAATAAAAACAAGATTAGTTGGATTTATGGCCCAGATTTTCAGGAGAGATGGTAATAGACATCTGTGTCAAACAAGAGAAGATCCATATGTATGGATCTTGTAGATAAACGTGCAAGCTAGAAAACTACTAAGAACAACTTATTTAACGTATAGATAGAGATGAAGTGGAATACTCTGAGCCTAGAGACAAATTGAATGCAGCTTTTATCAGAATAATATATCAGACTGGTTCTGAAAGTGTGGAGGAATTGCTTGCATTTCTGTTATCGGCCCACAGTGATTCTCATAACCCAGAGAAACACAGGCATACTGGAATTGTATGGAGCAGATAATTTTATTCACTATGAACACCTATGTGCCTTCTTTCTCCTACTCATATGCTGCTGCAGCTAAGCAGCTGGGTGTCAAGTACCAATCTGAACCAAGTTTTTGTGGTTGAATTGAAACCAGTAGGATGTGTTTACATGCTACTGACCACAGTGGCTTTTTGCAGTGGGTGCTGCTACTTTTAGTGTGAAATTTGCTGCTATAAATGAAGTTATTTCTCAGTTCTTTTTGTAAGAATGTGGCATGCAAAGCTTAAAACTTCAACATCAGTTTAAAAAAAAAAACAGAAAAACAGAACCATAACACGTGATGCTTTGCTTCCTTAGGTTGTTGGGGTTTTTTTGTACACGATCGTTGTTTCCCAGCTTTATTACACCACTTCCATTTGTGCTGCAAGATTGATGTTGGAAATTCTGTGTAAATACACTCCATCAAGAAGCCACTGTGTCACCTTGAGTTCGTTAAGATGTTCACTGCAACATAGCAAAATTGGCAAAGCCACCATGGAACAAACCTCCATGATTTATAAATTACAGATGTCAAGGCTTTAGGAAAGTTGGTGGAGTACTTTATGGGTCACCTTTATTTTTCCTACCGTGGATGCCTTGCCTCACATGTTTCCTTTATGTCAGTCTGTCCATATATTGCATATTATTGCCGTGAATAAAGAAGCCGCTGTGTGTTTCGCCGAGTAGAATATTGAATGTTTGGGGGGCTTGCCTCAGAAGAGAGGAAGTGAAGAAGCACCAAATAGAATATGAACATTTGACACGGGGTGCAAAGTTTGCTGGAAGGATTGCCTGTATGTAACTGACAACATAAACACACCAGAGGTACGTTGCCTTGTGCAAGTGGCAGTACAAAATGTGCAGGATGGAAAAGCCTGCTGTCTAAGTAGAGCAGCGCAGGAGGATGGAGGTGATGGTATTTACAATGTGGAAATAGGAAGCTGAGGCCTGAAAGAGGCAGATGAATTAGCCAAATTTAAACAAAGTTTATAATCGGTGAGAAGCCTGGAAGCAGATTTCAGGCAGTGCACTGGGCAAAAGCTCATTCTCCTTCACTCCCGGTTAACACATCTTGGTTAATAACAGAACAAAGCACAACTTGATGCTTATATGTCTTCATGTGGATGTAAGGAAAAAGTCTTTTACAGTGAGGGTGGTGCCTAGAGATGTGGTTGATACCCCATCCCTGGAAACTTTCAAGGCGAGGCTGGATCAAGACTTGGGCAACATGATCTAGCTGTTCATGTCTCTGTTCATTGCAAGGGAGTTGGACTAGATGACCTTTAAAGGTCCCTTCCAGCTCTAAGAATTCATTCTTCTTAGAGCTTGAATATACCAGAATTTAATACTTGGACCAAAGAAATTCATCCTGCAATGCTTAAAAATATTTCTGCAGCCCTTCACTACTGCATTTGAGTTCCTGTAAATCATTCTTTAAATTGGTAGTCAGTAGGAATGAGGTAACAGGACTACCATCTTCTGCTCTAGGCTACAATAGAAACAAACCCTACTGAATTTCTACTTCAGGGGTTGTTCTGCCATTTTCTTTGCAAATATAAAAGTTTGACTTGGTAACTGTGGTGGGTAGGTTAGTATTAGACAGGAAGCAGGTGACTGAGATTTAAAAGAACGAAAACAAAACTAAAAAACCCAACAGTAAGTGTGTTAACATCTGGTATTGTCCTTAATTTTTCTTAGTTCTGACTGTGTGTTTGGAGCTTAAGAATTCTGTAATATACATATGTGCTATTTTATCATCAGTGAAACGTTGAAGATTGTGATTCAGTACCTGGCTATTAGTCCAGTGTTGCAGACTAATGTTTGAATTTTAGGCTGCATCAAAAATAAGAGCTGAATGCAGCGTGCATGCAGCAGAAGCCTGCAGAGGAAGCTGGGCCAGCGAGAACACAGAGCACTGTAGTGGCAATGCCAGAATGCCAGCCAGATCTATGGACAGCAGCATAGCAAACAGTCTATTTTGAATTCAGCTAATTTCCCAATGAAATTCCAGGCAGTCATCATCAATCAGACCTGCTAATTTCGACAGAGCTGTTACCAGTTTAATTTTATTTTGTAATCAACTTTTTCCAGGAAAAATGCATCACTTTCTGAAAGGCTATAGAATTGAGATATGGTGGGCATTGAGACCCTCTGAATATCTGTGGCGGCTTCTTCTTGGTCATGCATCTGGGATTTTTGCTTTGAGTAATGGTTTCTCTTTCTGACAACTGATGTAAATAGCTGTGTTGTACTTTGGACTGAGTTGAAGACCCCAGAGCTACAAACACTGTAAGAAATTGAGACATGAAAGGAGGTTCAAATACTTCTGTACAGTATTTCTAGATAAACAGACCAGGCAAAGTCAGGATGAAATTTTAATCCTAAATACATTATAAGTGATGCTGGTAGTGCTGCCTATAATTAAACTTGCCTCACATTTCCCATTATAAGACCCTGTTTTCAGTGGCATCTAAGTTGGCCAAATTTTAACTGTTTGGGCTGAAACTTTCCATGCTGAATGTCTGCTTCAGATGAATTGTTTGGAAAGCTTAAACAAAAAATGGTTTCACCATTTCTGGGAATGAAATTAAGAGAAAAATATTTTCTTTTGCCATGCAAACTTAATTCTGGCATTTCCTGAGTTTTGAGTGCTTGAGTCTGTAGCCTTGATGATTTTGTGTACGTATATTTACATTTCCTTCAGAAAATGAAAGTTTATAACATAATGCCTACATACATACATTTGGATGACTAAAGTTGATGTGAAAACTGTAAATAATTAGCTTGCATTAGAAACAATCAAATTACTTTGATTTGTTGTTTATCCTTGGGAAATCACTTGAGGCCTGATTTCAGCAAGCTTATCTCTCATAAGGGTCTGTGCTGTGCGTAGCTTCTAACATTGGTCTCTCAGTCTTTTTACTCCAGTTATTTGCATGTAAATTATAGCTTATGCTCTTCTTCTGCACACTTTGCTGTCAGGCAGAATTAAAGTTCACTTGTGTTACTATAATGTAAGTGTTACCCAAATCAACCTTAGCGACAGGTTTGATCTCTAGTTGGTTTAAATGGGGGGGGTCTTCTACTGGGTTCTGTGCCAAGGTCCGGTGCACACTCATTACTTTGTCTTTAAATACTGAGACTATCCAGAAACCTAGTTTTAATTAGAGCTGTAATGGCTTATGCTAGCCAAAAATTGACTTGCTGCTAACCAAGTCTCTCACTCCTCCTTTAATTAAAATAAGTAAATTAATTAAAGGAATGTCTCAAAGCATAGATTTAAGAAAATTAGAAGGGAAGAGAAACTGCAGTAGGCGCTGAGCATGCTTAGGAAAAGGATTGTTTCTCTAGATGCACATAGAACAGAAAGGTATCTGTTACTGGTGCTGCATGTAGGTGGTTAAAAGAGTGCAATTATATGAAGTTTTTTCCTACTGGCTACCAACTTCTTAATGAAGAATGGCCTCTCCTGCTTGGAGTATAGTTTATCAGTGATAGACTCTGCTTCTTTGATCCTCTCTGCTTTTACTAATACTCATGTGGTGACCAGTACATCCTGAAACACTGCTGGAGCCTCTGAGGCCCCATTCCATGTGTGTTTATTCTTTCCATTTTTTTTCCCCTTTTACCTTCATGCCTGTTGGTTACCTCTGACTGTAACTGAGAGCTGGTGTAGCCCTACAGACAAACTCGTGCTTTCTGTTCATGCTGGAAGAACTGAAGCTGAAGCAGGGAAAGGGAAGCAGTTACAGCTCTTTGCTAAATGTAGGTCACTGCCAGAGAGAAGTAAAGCTGGTATATGGCATCTAAGAGAAAATACATGGATATCTTTTATAAAAGAGAGATGCTGTCCGCAAGCGCTACTTGTGTCCCATTGCCACGTGATCCCTCAAAGGAGCCCTCAAGTTCCCTTCCCATGTCCAGGTTAAGTAAATGCTGGTGGTGCTAAGAACTTTAGACTATCTTCACATTTCCTGGCTTTTACTACAGATGATTATTTATTGTTTGTCATTGCATTTCAGAGAACTGCATCTTCTAACAAGGCAGTTTGTAGTTGAGGCTTGGTTGGAATCCTTCATTTTTTCAAACAAGAGCTTTGCTGGACTGCAGTCTGGAAACAAAAAAAAATCCTGAAGGACTTTGGTATTGTAGCTCCTAAAGGCCTCAGCACACTTCTAGGACTGTATCCGTTAACCTGGGCTAGAGAAGAGCCTTTGAAGTTCCCATGGTTTAATTGGAAAGGGAGACAGAGGATGAGGACAGTGAGGCACAAAAGGGAAAAGCTCCATTCAATGCTATGTATCTGGTCATGGCAGTGGTAGGTCTTTCGCTTTCAGTGTGGGGTAAAGAGGCAAGCTGGCTGTAGAGCAGTGTTGGGTGATCAGCTGCTGGACTCATCTGAAAAAAAAAATCAGTCTGTTTTGCAAACAGCAGGAGAAAACAGAGAGTAACTGGAGAGTAATAAGATGGATTTTCTTGAAGAAGAGTGTTGCTGGGGAATCAAACAAGTGTGTAAATTATATCATTTCTTGTGCTAATATTGTTATTGCCAAGATTTTTTAGCTGCATTGCCCAGGAAATTCTTTAGGAAAGGACAGTGCCAGCTTGATACGTTTTTCTGTATTATTGGCAAGATCCGTGACAACAATGAAATCATTTTCTGTCTCTGTGCTGCGGGCCCAAGGCAAGGCTTTCTGCCTTTCACAGCTTCTGGTGTACTTACCTTTCAGTAAAGTTTACTCTAGATGAGTGTATTTTGATCACAAGAAGATGCATCTCTATAAATTACCTTCACTCCCTCTTGAGGCTAGGAACTGCACTCAGGGTCGGTGCAGTCTTCCCTCTTCTAATGGTGGTCATTTTCCATTCAGAGAGGAAAAAAAAAAACCAACAGCCCAACAGCAAAATGCCTTATCCCCATCCTATCAAGGAAGGAATTACCAGAGGACTATAAACTGCATTCCCACTTCAAAGGCTTCTGAGCTAACTTGGATGAGATTCCCGTCTTGAACACTCTCCTGTGGAAGGGCTCCATCCAGCAGCTAACAAGCTTGGCCCCGTTATGTCTCTGAACTCGGTCCCTCAAAAATGGGAGTGGTGGTATACAGTGAAGGGGAAGTTGTTTGCATAGCATTGCTCTTGAAATGACTCTGTCTCGCTCTGTTCCTGAACCACGTGTGCATTCTTTCAAATTAAATTTCAGTGGATGTGGTATTTTCCTTCACTTCCTCCCCTGAATGGGTGTTGACATGCTATTAAACAGCTGCCTTGCTCTGCTCCGGAGATAGGTGCTCTTCCAGAGGCTGAAGTAACTCCTGCAAACATCCAGCTTGCCTTATTGAACTGCTGGGATTGCTCAAGAGCAAAGTTACAGAGGAATGCTGTGTCTATGTGGCAAATGACCTGGAAAAGGTACTTTGTTGTATACGTGGAATTACGCTTCCAACATGTATCTATGACAGCCCTCAGACCTCATTGTACAGCTTTTGTTCTCAGTGCAAGGGGTTACTGAAGCAATTCTATACCTTTCTTGATTGAAGTTCAAATATATAACTGAAAATCTGATTACTCAATAAGAGCCCTAAGAAGTTAGGCTGTCTTCAGGACGGTTGCAAGGAGTATGGCAGCAGGGCCAGTGTGAGAGTAGCTGTAGAGAAGTGGTCAGTATGTGGCAGTGTTACTTTCCTAGTTGCTCAGTGGGCTTTTCTTTAGTTTATAGCTTCTTAAGCACAGGAATGATCTTCCATCCTTTGTTCTACAGTCCCTAAGTATGTGTGATCTGGAATAGTGCAGTAGTGTAAATAATAGCTGAAGCCTTGTGATGGGCTTCCAAAGGAAGTGTGTTTGGGCACATAGTTGTATCCTTCTAGAAGAACCTGTTGCTCATCATCCTTTCCGGAAGCTGGCTTCAGGAAGGTTTATTGGCAGAGGGAGCTTATTTTAAGACAATTAATAAACCATTATGTTCCTTTATTACAGTGTGTCAGTTTTGAGTTCTATAATGAGTTTAAGAGCAATTGTGGGCTTGATGAATGTAATACCAATAGCTCAATGAGAAGGGCACTGCATAAGTTGAAGATGAGTTCAGTTGGATATTACGTACTGCTTTCCCAAGGGGACTCTTCTTCAGAGTTTGGAGAAGTAATTTCAATATTCATCTGTTTTCACTGTAAGCTAATTACTAAGTACATCAGTAGCTTAATTTAGTTTATAATTCGTTAATTTATTTCTGATTATGTTCCCAGACTGGGGGTTAAACTTGAATTAGAACATTCAAATGTTTGCGTATTGGGATTAAAAAGAAATTCTGAATGAAGGAGTAAGTTTGTATTACTTAACTAGCATAAGAAGCAGGCCAGACAGGAAAACTTTGTGTTTATAGCTGCTTTGAAAAAACATTTCCACTCTGCTGAACTTGGTGCTGTTGTGAACATCAGAGTTTTTTGTAATGTGAAGATGAAGGTTTCAGAGGTTGCCGTGCTGAGATGTCAGTTCCTTTGGTACAAAGCCTGGTGGTCCCAGTCCAGATCTTTCTCTCCTGATGCCTCCACATTTTTTTAGAAAAGCCAAGAGCATGCAGCAGTCATTCTCAAAAACAAAAGAAACCCCACAGAACAAAACAGCCCCATTTGGAGGGAACCACGCTTAGCTTTACAAACTGCTTACAAACATTGCCGGATTTCCCAAGAGGCTGACAACGTTTGCCAAGCATTGACTGATGTTGTATTGTAGGCCAAACACTTGATGGTATTTATGTTATCTGTCAAGTGGTTCGCAATGTTTAATAACATCTGCTAAGTGCTCCGGATGTTAATGATGTACTCAGCAAGGACCTGAGGAGCTCTGCAGCCTGTACCAGCTGGCTGGCCACACTTGTGCTGTCCACCAAGAGGCACTAAGCATGTATGTGGACACATTGCTGATGCAGCTTCAGACTTGGTGGGGTTGTGTCAGCAATGGCTTCATACAAAGTGTTTGTAAAGGTTATGATGTCTGTTGGGAGCTTCCCTCTAGATAAGGGATTTTTTTTCACTAAGGCTAAATAGCTGTCCCTGTAGACCCTGAACTGGTATATCTTTTTTTTTTTATTTTTTTTTTTTATTTTTTTTTTTTTATTTTTTTAAATGTTCTCTGCCGTTACAATTAAGGTATTGAGCTCCTGTAAAATTAAGGACCTGTAAAATTAACTATGTTTTTAATACAACCTTGATTAAGTTGCTTAAGCTCTTCATGTCTCACTTCTTCTCTACGTGCATTAGGGACTCTCATGACCCTCAGAATGTAGTTTCTGTTGTTGTGTGGTTTGTGTAGTGCCAGGTGTGGTAGTCCTGGCTGAAGTTGCATGGCCTGAAGACTGTTGTTAATTCAGGTATTAAGGCTCCAGCATGTACTTCCTGCTGTGGTTTCAGATGGATCCTGTGCTGTTAGTTGCATGTAAATAATTTCTGTGCCTTATGGACCTTGTACAGCAATTTAAGAGGCTTGTGAATGGAAGACTTTCTATAAACGTAGGTCGTTAGTACAGTGTGGAAGGACACAAATAGTGGCTTTAGTCATGTGGGGCCTGGAGGTGGAAGTCATCACTCCAGGAAGCAGGAAAGGATGTGAGACCTGGGTCAATTAGGAGAACAGCAAAAGTGATAGATATACTGCTATATGTATGTACATATATACATGTATATATATATATATATATACGTGTATCTATTACACAATATCCAGCTGCATGTGCTGGCCGGAAAGAGTCCTTGTGTGTATCTCACAGCTGAACGATGCTCAGGGTGCTGTGAAGCCCTTCAGAGACTTTCATCTTTCTGAATGCAGTTTTCAGGGCCACGTTTTTATTTTTTCCTGAGCGTTCTTCTCCTGACTGAAAGCTTCTTTGACTTCATCACAAACACTGGGGTCTGATTTTGTGGGTCACCTTGTTAATAGTCTTGTGTTCTTATGCTAGTAATTTCTTAGGTTGCAAGTGTGATTTCTTAGATGCATGAGGGAACAAATTGCCCCTACGTGTGATGTGCTTTTGTCATGCAGGTGATGAATACTGTGTGAAACCCAGGCATAAGAAGGAAAATAGGTGTTGGTTGTACCAAGGTCACAAGACCTGTAATTAGGTTAAAAATGTACAGCATCCTTCCTCTCTGTCAAGCTGCTTCTGATGCACAGTCAGTTTCTTGGATCCCAGTTCAGACTGCTATTCTGAAGCACTGATTTCATTTACTTGCAACAAGTGCTCTAATAGGTTTATGGACTATTTTTCTTAACTCCATAAAATTAGGGTTTGACTCACAGGGTGCTGGTTTTACAGTTTTAAAACTTGTGCAGCATTAAAAATGATGCTTTTACCGTGACATCCTCATTATACTTGATCTGCATTGCTTTACATAATACAACTGCAAAGTTGCTTTTGAAAGTAATGATCCCAGCTCGTACCTGTGAGAAAATTAAAGCCAACTTCTAGCCATTGCTGGGACCCATTACATAATAAGAAAAAACTTCAACTCTGCTGAAAGCAATCTTTTACTTGGTACTTAAAATTGAGGAGATAAAGAGGTAAGAACTGATCAAACTGTCTTCCCCCTCCTCCTCGCCTTCCCAGGAATGCTCTGTAGAACTCCTCAGGTCTGGCATGGCAGAAGCATGCTGCAATTCACCAGTACTTTTCCTTTGCTTGTCTGTGCTCTGAGTGATGCTCCCGTACTTCTCAGCTGGCTCCCCAATGTAGCTCTGCTCTTACGGGTATTACTGGGGATGTTACCTACTTCTGTTCTGTAATTGTTGTGTTTCTTCTCATATGATCAGAAAAGGCAGGTTGTTACAGAGCCACAGGTGTTTGATCACCTCCTATGTTTTCCTTGCAAGAGAAGCATGTACAGGGTTGTCAGTGTGAGCTGATGATCAGGCTCTGATATGCAGCTAAAAGCTGCTCATCAAAAATGCTAACATGCAGAATTTGCAATGCTGCATGCCTGTAGTTGGTAGAAATAAGAGGTGAAGGACTCTCTTAAGTCTTAAACTGATTGATAGTTCAATGATTTCAATAGAAATTGGGACGTGTAATCCTCAACAGCACTGTTTAGTAAAAGATACTTATCCCTCCTTATGAACTTCTTCCATCATTTCCTAGAAAGGGCCAGCACTGCTGCTGGTATAATGCACCCTGCTTAACTAATTGCTTTCATTGTGCCAGGTGCGTGCTAATTGGAGCTCTATTCCTCAGAGACCATCGTGTTGCAGAGGTATTGGAACAGCTTCTAAAAAGGCAGAAAGAGTAATTGAGATTGAGAGGTGCTTCTTAAGAACACAGTTGTCCTTAGACTGGTGAGGATGCTAAAGTGAGGAATGGGCTTGCCTTTTTCTTATCACTGATTTTTTTAAAAGCAGTCCTGGAAATACATTATATTGGCTTACATTGCTACTTTAAGGAGCTTCTGCCTGTTATAAAGAAAAAAGATGAAACTTCGAAATCTGATGCTGAGTTTCAGTTTAGATTTATGTTTCCAAATATCATAGAATCAAGTAAGAGTGAGAAATATGCCAGGAAATATTTTTCTGCTTAATTTCAGGTGCCAGATTGATAACATAAAGCAGAATTTTAAACGTGAATCGATGCAAGAGGTCGTCATGTTTGTGATTGCTGGATAGGTGCTCCCTACACAGTTCGCTATATACAGTTGAAACTTTGGGTCCTGTTATTTCATCTAAGCAACAGTGTACTTGAATACTGGGATGTTTTTAACCTTAGTAATTTGTATTGCCCTTCTCAAACAAAGGAGGAGACAAAGGATGTCCTGCACTCCACCCATCTCTCGTTCTGCAGAGTGCAATGAATGCAGCCAATGTGCAGAGACAAGGCTGGATGGTGTAGTACTGCCTTCCAGAGCAAACTGTTGTTTCTTATGTGTAAAGGTTTGGTTTTTCTTCTGTTTGAAATCACAGTGAGTGATTGTGACCTACACACAATCAGCTTTTTAGAACCTCACTTTAAATAGTGACGTTTGAAAACTGAATTGTGAGT